AGGGTCAGAAAATAATCAGGGCTTGGGGGAAAAACTATAGATATTATAGATATATATATATATTATAATGCAAAAAATTATTTTGCAATATAATTTTGCAAGAAATCCCAATTAACAAAAAAAAAACGAATTATGAAAAAAATACAGTAATTTTTTTTCATACAGTAAAAAATTTACAAAACAATTCCAAAAATATCCAATGATTGTTTTGTATAGTAAAAATGTTATTGAAGAAGTAAATAATTTTTCTTTATAATTTTGGTATGGTGTTGGGTTGCCACTTGAAAAATCATGTAAAAATTGTGCCCTAAAGCAAAAATCAATTGAGATCCACTGGCCTAAGTAAACAGATTTTTTTGTTGTTGTTGTTGAACTCTTACACACAAGTTTGGGAATCTTATCTTCTCTTCTTATGTTCCTCTAAATCAGCCTCTGTGCTCCATCTGAAACACTTTCCAGGAGTCTGTATTAATCGTCCGCTCGGGTTTATCGCTTCATGATAATGTGAGAAGGTGTTGTGGACACCTTGTTCTCCTGTCTGGCACATGGAGAGGTCACGTCTCTGATAATAACACGTCTCCAGCGCTCATGAGAGGCTTTCCACTGAGGTTGTCTCCTTTTCCACCCCTGTGTCTCTCTCTCACACGTATTTTGAAGAGAAACGATTTGTATGAGGAACAGGTCGTTACTATTTCATAAATATGTATTTAAAGTAATAATAATAATAATAATAATAATAAAAGACCTTCATCTAGGGTCAGAAAATAATCAGGGCTTGGGGGAAAAACTATAGATATATGTTATATATATATATTATAATATATTATTAATATTATAATATAATATATATATTATAATGCAAAAAATTATTTTGCAATATAATTTTGCAAGAAATCCCAATTAACAAAAAAAAAACGAATTATGAAAAAAATACAGTAATTTTTTTTCATACAGTAAAAAATTTACAAAACAATTCCAAAAATATCCAATGATTGTTTTGTATAGTAAAAATGTTATTGAAGAAGTAAATAATTTTTCTTTATAATTTTGGTATGGTGTTGGGTTGCCACTTGAAAAATCATGTAAAAATTGTGCCCTAAAGCAAAAATCAATTGAGATCCACTGGCCTAAGTAAACAGATTTTTTTGTTGTTGTTGTTGAACTCTTACACACAAGTTTGGGAATCTTATCTTCTCTTCTTATGTTCCTCTGAATCAGCCTCTGTGCTCCATCTGAAACACTTTCCAGGAGTCTGTATTAATCGTCCGCTCGGGTTTATCGCTTCATGATAATGTGAGAAGGTGTTGTGGACACCTTGTTCTCCTGTCTGGCACATGGAGAGGTCACGTCTCTGATAATAACACGTCTCCAGCGCTCATGAGAGGCTTTCCACTGAGGTTGTCTCCTTTTCCACCCCTGTGTCTCTCTCTCACACGCCCCTCGCGTTACCATGGGTGCAACACCCTACAATTCAATTCTCCCCAAAACCGCCAAAACTACAGGAGTGATGCCACCCCACTGTTTGCAAAATTATATTTTGGTATTTGACTAGGCAGAAGAATAATGTCCTTTGTTCTGATTGTGAAGAGGAAAAGATCCAATTTTACCTCCATTTCCACTTCAGGGTTATTCACAGAAATTAAATGTACTCGTACAACTTAATTAGGGGCTTTGAATAAAATCAAGAAGATTAAATTGAATTCATGTTCTTATCTAAATGAACTAAGACTGAGGAGCTCATACAGAGATTTTTGACCATTTAATTCAGCTTTATGACTTGTTACTTGTGTGCTGAACACACACGAAAAAGTTTTGAAGAGTTGCCGGTAGCCATTGACTTCCATAGTATTTTTTCCCCTACAGTGGAAGTCAATGGCTACCAGCAACTATTTAAAATATAGATACTCAAAAGAAAATCATACAGGTTTGGAACAACTTGAGGGTGACTAAATATAACAGACTAGTAATTTTTGGGTGAACTATCTCTTTAATAAATACATGCATTACTATGACCCTCGACCCTTAAAGGAACGCTCCACTATTTTTGAAAATAGGTTCATTTTCCAACTCCCCTAGAGTTAAGCAAAATCGCAACTTTTCATTTTCCGTCGGTCTTAGTACGCGATGTTACTACAGAAGGATCAAGTTTTAAATAGGAAAAAAATAGAAACTCTTTGGTCATTTTTGAGCGAGATGCTAACGGTCTAATCAGATTCAATGATCTATGCTAAGCTACAGCTAAAAGTGCTACCGCCAGATCCGGAGATCGGCTGAATGGATTCGAAAACGGTATAACTCAACTGTTTAACTCTAGGGGAGTTGGAAAATGAGCCTATTTTCAAAAATAGTGGAGTGTTCCTTTAATATATCATATTTGACAGTCTTTCTAATGCAACACAGGACTCATGTTGTACAAGTGTTTCTTACAGAAAACATGCATTGATCTATTTCAGTGTACGTCTACTGATTTGACTTGGTCATAGTCTTACAGCAACTAAACTGCGATCAAGCATTCATAGACTAAAAGACTAGGAACATAAGGAACATAAACCGGTCATCATATGCTGTTTGTGAAAGAACTAAAGTCTTTGACCCTGTAAATCAGTGTGCTGAGAACCTCCCACAATGTTTTGAACTTCTTGTGCTGAAATCAGAGTTTGAAAAACAAATCTGAGCTTTCAATTTTGATAATTTCATTTGATGAATGTTTTTTTCTACTCCACTCTGCTTCATCCAGTTTCAACAATTGGAATTCATCGGCTTCACTGGAGCAGGAGACTCACACAAGATCTCTCTCACTGGAGCGCTCTTCCTTATACAGTATAACAAATGCTGGATTTAATTTCCACACAACACTGTCTGACCACCACAACCTCAGCCAAAAGTCACAATAACAGTGAAGCTGAGGTTTTGTGGAAAACAGGCTCGATGGCAATACTGGTTTTCTGTCTATAAAACATTTATATATAATGCTGTTCAAAACTTTTTTTAAAGAAGAAAGAAGAAAGACATTTAAAGAAATTAATATGCTTATTTATTACGAATGTAACCGATCAAATGAAAGTAAAGACATTTATAATGTTACAAAAAATTAACATATTTATATTTCAAATAAATGCTGTTCTTTTAAACTTTCTATTCAACAAAGAATCCTGAAAAATAAAATGTATCACGGTTTCCACAAAAATATGAAGCAGCACACCTGTTTTCAACATTGATAATAATCAGAAATGTTTCCTGAACAGCAAATCAGCATATTAGAATGATTTCTAAAGGATCATGTGACACTGAAGACTGGAGTAATGATGCTGCAAATGTAGCTTTACATCGCAGGAATAAATTACATTTTAAACTATTTAAATGTGGCCCTTAAAAGACATTACATATTCTCTTTCCTTGATAACCGCTATTAAAATCATCATTCACATATAGATATTGATTATAATGTCTGAAAAAATAGATCTGATTACATGACTAAAATTTGGACTCAGAATTTGTACAATGTAAACTTTGTCCAAGCTCAGAACTGAAAATGCAATTTTTGTGTCCTGTCTCATATAAGAAAACAAGATCTGGGCTGCATTTAGCAGCACTGTGCATGTAGCCTATAAGAAGTCTATAACTTCAAGGTCACTTACACTGCAACTTTAAATACGCCGCAAATTCTGAATGTTTCCTTTTTTCCTCTTCACGCTCTGGTTTACATTCACACATGCTCTGTGTTACCAGAGAAGGGTTTTCAATCACTCTCACCATGAAGATAAATGTCAACCTGAATATAAAACCAGAGGTGAGTTCTCAGACGTTACAGCTCACGCGGTGACCTCAGTTACGTCATTACTGCTCACCTACCCTTCAAACCTACACTCCCACCGTCTCGCTCTCTGGATGATATGCTGCACGAAGAACATGAGAATCGGCAGATTCAGTAATGAGACTCTGTTGTGGTGTTTTGTCGCCCCCGGCATGAAGCTGTCAGAGCGAATGTTCATTTGCATTCAAAAACAGCACAGGCAAGGGTTCGTTTGACAGGAGCTTCATTACGCCGACCTGATTGACCGCTTCACACTGGTCATACACTTTTGAAACACAGACTTAGAACATCAGCTCAGCCTTCAAAATCAAAAGATATGGATTCTTACAAGGCAGAAGGAGACATACTACAGTGCCTTATGTAGGAATCACACACCAAACTAAAATATGAACTGAACTAATAGCTTTTCTGGTATTTTATTCGGATCAACACAATGATGCATGAATGGACAAACCCATTAAATATATATACGCTAAATAAGCAACAAACTGTGGCTACATAGTATGTCTTATTTAAACACTGCATTTATGCTCTTACAAATATATTACTGCAACACATATGCATGTTTTGGGGCTTTTTTAATGGTCAAAACCAAAAACAATGGTCAAAAAAAAAATCATAAATTGTTGGACAAAAGTAACTGCCAACACAGATTTCATGCATTTAAAATGGATTCAGATTAGGATGAAAGAAAGTATGTGTACAAAATAAATACCATGGTATTTTTTAAGCGACCATGTATATACTGTGGTATCTGCATAGGAGTGCTAGGGAGTCAGTAAAAATGTATAACTAATAATTAATAAATAAAAGTAAACTTAATAAAAATGATTAAAAACAAATAAATAAATAAACCTTAATAATGTAATAGAAAAACAAATTCCAAATTATATTTTTCAAATATTTATAACATTAATTTACATACAATACAAATACAAACTGGGTCTTTATGCATACAAATACATAGCTGCTTTTTTAATTTTCTGATGGGGTCCTTCACAAGAGGATGATCATAGTTGGGGTCTGTGGCATTTAAAAGACTAAAAACCCCTGCCATAGTGTATATATATATATATATATATACCATATATATATATCTCAAAGTGCCATGGTATTACCTACTGTTACCATCACTGTTCTATGGTACCGTGTATGTGGTAAAGTGACAGATTAAAGAAGGACTTACTCATTTTTCTGCAGATCAAGTAGCAGTTGCTCTCCATCCACTTCTATTAGCACCTTCAGTGATCCAGGATGACCCTAAAACCAGACAAAAGAGAATGAAGAAATGCATTTCCTCCTAAACTGAAAACAAATATATATTAAAACATAAGACACAAAATTCACATTTTCTTAAATCACTTCCCAATGTCGCCACATTAATCGATGGTGAAAAATAAAACATAAAAAAGAAAGTGGGTTTAAAATTACGTTGTGCAAAATGAAATAATCATAGCAGATATTGATCATCCATCAAAATGGTCACAACAAGTGCATTGCGTTGTGGGATATAGTATTCAAGTGTGCAGTGGAGCAGTATGGTAGTAACATGCTGTTACAAACACAGTGATAGACTTTTTATGGGTCATTCCAACACAGAAACAAGATGAATGAGCAAGATTTAAAAAATTAGATGAAACCATCTCATTAGACACCTGTTGCTGCATTAGCATTTCATCTGCATCCACATATACTTTAGTGGATATAACTGGTTGATTGCCACTTGAAAAGATGACAGCTGATTGGTTGATTACATAATTACACACACCTGTGCCACTTCTGGACCCTCCATAAATACCACATTATGATGGCGAACCCATCTCAGCACACTTCAATCGTTCTGATGGCTTTTACTTGGTTTTGATTTACTGATAATAATTTGAAATGTTATGTTAGAGTTTATGGTTGCATGACATAAGTAAATAAAGTGCTGGTTTCTTCAAACAAGTCATCTATTAACTCAATTCAGTGATCATTTGTGTGTCCATATTATTAGTGGTTAGTACAAAAACACATATTCCCAATGGATTGAAGAATAAAGATGTGATCGTACATCTTTATTTCCATTAAATATTATGGTTCATTCAGAATGCATCACATTATGAAAGTAAAATGGGTTGCAATAGCTGTTTCTTGTTGGCTTAACTTATGTTGGTGGTTATATTCATGGAAGATGAAGTTCTAACCACTGCATTAAAGACAATGCAAGTCCTCAGACCAATAGACAGTAGTGATGCAAAGTCCGATTCATTTCCGCGAACCAGTTGTTTTCGGACAGATCGGCTCATTGAATCGGTTCAAAAAGCCGGTTCATCGGTTCCTGACGTCATCAAGCAATAACGTCTCTACGCATTCCTTTTCTAACAACTCTAACAACAAAAAATTCAAATAAGTCATTTGTGTCAACACATTGAAACATTAAAAAAATTAAGTTATTTGTGTGAAAGCATATTGTTGATTATTACCATATAATACAATAAAGTTAATGGTGTTTGTGGTCAGAGTTTCATTCGCGGATCCTTTATGTCAGATACGACTAACCAATATTGACTAGCTACAACTTGGATAAGATTCCTAAAAGATTCGCACCTACAGCACACATTACAGACATTGATGCACAAACGCGGATATGTTCTACATGTCTACAGTATAAAGAATGAATAAACTAGTCTAATAAACTTGATTTCACTTAAGCAACTTTAAATATAATATGCATTCACAATAAACTATTGTAAAATTTATTTACATCACTCGACAGAAAGGTTTTTGCAGGTTTTAATAAAATGTAAATGAATAACAGTCATAATACGCATATTTCCAGTACGCGCCTCAGGCTTGCACAGTATCGTCACAGTAACTCACTCATCAGAATCTTCGGTAATCCTCTGCAAACTTCGCCAGTTGGTTGAACCGACGCAATCGGTTCTTTTTGAGTTGGACGTGCTACTTCGGCTGTGCGTCCTGCGTCATCAACCCGGAACTAAAGTTCGATTCAGTTCGATTTGTGAACCGGCTCGACCGGTTACTTCCTGAGAACCGGCTCAAAAGAATGATTCGTTCAAGAACCGAACATCACTAATAGACAGCGACAGAAAGCATATTTCTATGGAGACAGATCAGCCTCAAAAATAACACATTTGCAAAACAAAATTCATAAATGCACAGCACAATTTACATTTACAAAATCAGATTCGTAAATTCAAAACACAATTCATAAATACACAAGTAAAAACATAAATATTTCCCCAAATGCTCACACAAATGCATCTTACCTAAATAAATTTAAATCACGCTCTGTAAGTCTGAAAATTCGGCAGATTTACTCGTAAGGCTCTGAGGGAAATGGATTTAAACCAGTCAGGCGTTGACAAAATACAGCAGAAATAAGCATGAATCATCTGTCTAACATGAAGAGCATGCAACATTGCATATGCATGGCTACGACCGTGACGCATACACACTGAGGTAGATGGTGAGAGAAAGTTAAGTATTTAGCACAAATTTGACCTAGAATATGGGCTGACCTTCATCCAAGTGATGGAAAAAAGAAAAGCTGATTAAACAAAAGCCAAAGGGAAATACATGGTTTCCCATGGTAAAATCACTGTAACATATGTCAACTCGTGGCCTATTGCTTTATTGAATGCATGGACGTAGCATTCACTGTATTAAACCGCATGGGATACATTGAGAGTTTGTGGGAGTGCATTTATAAATCTCTAATGAAAAGACATTTAGGGGTTGACGCTCTTATGGTTACAACTTGGTTACAAAACCACAGGTAACAACTTTGACCTCCATAAATCCATAGTAAAGCAAACAAATGGAGCAAATGTAACAACCCTGTAAGGGTTCCTCAGAGACGTTTCAAAGTTAAATCACTGCAAGAGTGTAAAACAAGAGTGTCAAAGCAAGAAGTATGAAAGAACTTTGTGAAGCTCCCAGGGGTCTTCAAACGTGACTGGCATTGACTTTCAGGTATTCATTTGCCCCCTGCTGGTCAAAGAGTCACTGAACGAATCAGTCAACTAATCTTTTTGGTCATAATCTCCATCACTAGTTCATAAATCTACTGAAAAGGAACAAGAGAGACTTGCATTGCCGAATAATCACTGGTCTCCAGCAATAACATTACCTCCCATCTTAATTTTATCAAAGACCACCTAGAGGATCCAAACAGCCATTGGTGCACTGGAGCAAAAGGAGCCGAAACAAAAGTTTAATGTGTCAGTATCAATAATAAATGTCCCACAAAAACGAAACACAGCATTCCAGCTGAACAGCTTCATCCCAGGCTTGACATGTGGGGTTGGGAGTATTCAGGGATGTTCTTGCGCTGCTCCAGGAAACTTTACAGGAGAATGTCATTGTGTCAGGCAGTGCGCCTGTGCCAACTGGGTCATGAAGAAGAACAGTGATCTGAAAAACACATGTAAAGAGCCGTGGTACGGCAGGCAGAGCATGTGCTCGGTTTTTGATAATGTGAGTCCAGACTGCATTATGTCCTAATACATTTCCTCCACTATATTCCCTGAGTTACACCCTCTGTTGACTGTCCTATATATTAAAGGCAAAAGACCATAAATAAAATGCATGCAAATCTACAAGGGTTGAAAATAAGAACTTATGCAATCTGAAATGACCAAGTTAAATGGAATAATTCACCTAATAATGACAGTAGTTAGATTTTTTTTTTTCAAGTAAAAGGCCTTTTAGTGTAATTCTACAAACGTCCACTTACAGGTCGTGGTTGTTTTTGCTGTGCAATCTTTACTTACTTTTATCATGTAAACATAACTTTTATTTTGTCAGTAATATTTCAAGCTGAACACTTACTGGACTTAAGTAATGCAGGTTTACATGATTATCCATACATCAGTTTTTTAGAAAAATCATGTTGAAATATGATCAAATATGATCATCAGGCTTTCAAATTAAATAAATAAATACATACATACATACATATAAATTAAAAGTGATTCATAGAACCAAATGCACAACACACATGATTCTCACATGAATTATGATGAAAATTGCTGTCTGTTCCTTAGAATATAGCACATGAAATACTTCTATGGCTATTTGTGACATTTCTATGGTGTTTTTGTCCTTTTTAGGCCTTGACAGAAGTGTTCACAATATACTGTGATTGTATGGAAAAAAAAATATGTGTAAAGATTTTTACTATTCCATAAGAGAAATAAAGTTGTATGAGGCAGAAACATAAAATCATAACTGACATAATGAGAAATAATATTTTTAGGATATGTACTCCTTTAAAGAAAAATGAACCTACCCACTTGAAATGTTACATGGTTTGAAAAGAATTCATGAATCAGAGTAAAAGCTGGAAGCTGATGTGCATGACTTTATCAACAGGTTTGGTTAAAGTAAAGGTTTGAATGCTTTTTTCAAGTAGTGATATTTCACAGGCATTACTTTAGACAAGCTACATCTCACAGGAACTTGCCACAATCCACAATTTAACAAACTCTAACTAGTTCAATGGCTTTCCCCCTACATTTCAATGCTAAATCTCCACACACAGATCCCTGGGTGGTCCGATTTACTCTTTATGACTGTTGCTCATGGCAATACACATGTAAAATCTGTCTGTAAAACCTTTTTACAAACTCCAGTAAGAAAACAACAGACTCTGAGTAAATAAATTAAACAAATGGGCTTCAAAACAACCCTGCATGTCTTCATTCAACAAATTGGTTGAGAAATCTTTTTAATTAAGGACAAAAGCAACACATCCCCTCCGGGAACAATATTCCCTCACAGGCAGGTCTGTTCGCCGCTTCCCAAAACATATCAAGAAGTTCAAAGTCACTCCTTCTTCAACCAGCATGTAATCAGAATCGTTACTGAGAACACAAATTAGAACTTTAAAGTCAACTAGGAATGGCATATGCAACACTTTTAACTTTCAAAGGCCAAGTACACACTGTAAAGTTTCAGGAGTGCCAACCGTATTTAAATACTTGAGTGAATGCCCTAAATTACAGTTTTGTGTGTGCATAGAACTCACTCTTGAAACTGCAAAGATTGACAACATGGTAACCATAGCAACGGTATGCCGTCTTGCACATTTGGTATCCGCAATTTGTGTTGTGTAATAAGTAATATTACAGTGACCAAACCCTTGTTATGTTCAGCGATTTTAACTAAACCACCGTTGATAGAGCTGTTGTGTTTTGTTTGTTTGGAAGTCAGCTTCACAGAGCCAGGGTTGCCAGGTCTGCATACAAAAGTAGCCCAATGGCCATATCCCAAATATCAAAACTCAAAATATGCAATTCCCATACCTAAAGTACATATTTTACAGTCACTGTTATGCTATTTGAAAACCAATATCATTGTGATCATAAACACAACTCAAAGGCTCCTTACCAATGGCTTTCCTTCACAAAACTGAACATCTAGTACAGTTTTATCATTGGTAGAATATAACATATTTTAGTACAAGCATTTCAGTCAAATTAAATTTATGGATTATGTCAAACCATTAACCCGCGGGGGGGGGGGATAAACCCCCCACGGCAACCATTTAAAAGTAGCCCAATTCCGCGAGAAAACAGCAGACTTGCCAACCCTGCGCAGTGTGCGCTCTTGAAACATGTCCACTTATTATAATTGAGGCTTATTGAGCGTCTTTGGCTTTGATGTTTGGGCTCGGCTCATGAAATGATACAGATTATGGAGTTAATAAAGTAGACAGATGCAGGTCACTATATTTTATTATGTGTCTTACTTCCAAGATAACGCATTTGGATTTGAGCTTATTATGGGCTTGTTTTTTTGTTTTTTTTTCCTAGCAAGATCTGGCAATACAAATGAGTCAAAATACTGAGTCTCCAGTAAATTGCTTAACTGTGTACACAACAGGACTAAGCACTAAAAGGTGAATTGACAACCGAATTTAGCTGCAGTGTCTATATGGCCATGTTTCTGAGTGAAAAAAACTGAGAGCTTGATTTTACCAGTGACTTACCATTGACTTTATGAGACTAACTGGTCGCTGCTGTCCTCCGATGAGCAGGTGTGGTTCGATTATGTCATAATGCTCCAGCGTGTCGTGTTGATTCGGATAGGCAGCTGAAAGAAGGAAAAACAAGTAGCCTATGTGAAATCTCCACAATAACGCAAACCACTGATCTTTGGTCTAGACATTTCATTGACTGACGACATCACTAAAACACTGACTAAGCCTGCTGAGCATTACTTTTTTGAAATCACTCGCAGATAGTCTTTCTTCAATCCATGCTATTTAGAAATCTCTTTGGCGTTTGTATTCGCAGCCTGCTGAGGTGACGGCATGAACACAACATTGCTAATCGATGCTTTCAAACATCAGGTTTGCCCTGACAACAATCTCCCTGGAAACTGCATCTATTTCAGGTCTGATTCGATTTAGATCAGACCTCTATAATGACCTAATGAAGCTCTTTCTTGTGGCCTCGTCTGTCCCTATATGCTATAAAAGTGATATCATATGTACATATCATACATTCATATCTGTACAGTGCAGCGTATCTCAAGCAGATTCAGCAAAATTTCAGAGAAACCACAAGAAGAATTTAAATTAAAATAGTTATGTTATTTTATATTAAAATTAAACTGCAAAATTAAATATATGCATGTAAACTGACATCACATTTCTCATTCAAAAGAAAATGCATTACTGATCTCTTAATTTCTCTCACACAATAGAGGTCTTTTTAAAATAGGTTTTGTTACTGCAAAACTGCATTATGTAATAATACTGTATTTTTTTTCCATTCAGCATTAATTTTATTATTTATTTACATTTTCATGGTTAGTTTCCTATGCCTGCACAGTGGCTCACTAAAGAAAAATAAAACCATTGCACACTGGAAATTATAAATAATAATATAAATAATTATAAAATTTAAATAAAATAAAATGTTTAATTAATAATTACTTAATAAACATATGTACATATATAATTTTATAATTTCTAAAAAAACATCTTATTTTATTTATTATTTATTTATAATTGCCATGGTTATTTTTGCTATGCCAGCACAGCAGCTCACTACAGTATTTTGGACCAGAGACTCTGGGTTTTTGACCAAGCATAAGCAAATGGTTTCCTCCCAGACAGTTTACCACAGAGACATCAACAATATAAACACATTTACACTCACTGAACTCACTGATTACAACATCACACACACACACACACACACACACACACACACACACACATCAAGCATTTATCAAGAATGGCACCAGCAGTGCATTTCGTAAATCATGTATAAAAACACTTCATTATGCAGTGACAGCAAAATGTTAAGAGTGCAGTTTACAATACAAACTCACTGAACGTGCAGAAAACCATGCTAGCCCAAACAAAAGAGTTCACTAGCATCTACATGCAACCGCCTCACGTGATTCGTCTTCATTAAAGCTTAACTGAAACATCCTCTTTGCAATACATACACGTCTTCCTGTTTGGTTTATAATGCATGCAAGTGAGAAATTAAACGATTACAGTTGCAATCAACTATTGCAACTGAGGAAATGTGTTAATTTGCATTTTAAACTGCATTATGTAATAATACTGTATTTTTTTTCCATTCAGCATTAATTTACAATTTCTTTCCCATGTCAAAATGACATACAGTATGTATAAATATATATATATATATATATATATATATATACTGGACATATATATGCAGGACAGTACCTTTGATTATAAATA